TTTTCCTGTTCACAGCTACCCTGCACCTCCCAGCCTTCCCACCCCTTACAGCTGGGGCGTAGTGCCTCGTGTTACCAAGGGGAAGGGGTGGATGGAGGTGGTGACGGCCTTGGCCAGCCTGCATCCTAGGACGGAGGGCATGATGCCCACCTGGTCACCCCACCCTGCTGGTTGGAGCCCTCACCTGGAAGCAGGAAGGAGAAACCAGGGGGACAGAGCCTGGGCCCCCACACGCACCTGCCCTGGACTCTCACAAGAAGGGGACAGAGACATCTTGAGCTTCAGCCCAGTTTTGGGAGACACTTTGTTCCAGCAACAAACTATGCCTTAAAAGCCAAGGTGCTTTACAAACCCCTCCCCAGCTGTCACAGAAAGTCAGGCTTCATCTCATCACACTTTTCTCAAACCCCAGCTCACGGTGAGACCACCTCTCAGGTGATGGTGCTTCAGAGCAGCCCCTTTAAAAGATCCCAGGAGTTCAGCTCTCCCAGCCCTGCCTTCAGTTTAAGGGAGAAGTTTCCTTGACAAACCTGCTCAGTTTCCTTGACAACCAAGCTTTGCAATCTCCCAAACTCTTCTCCTTCAAACATTCCTATTCTAGGCTGGATGAGCCTAAAGAGACAGTGCCGTCATCACGTGCCAGAAAACGATTCCCCCAAGCCCGTAGTTATTGGTTACATGGTGCTATTGATGATGAGATCCCAGGAGAGCCAGCTTTGCAATATAACCATTTCCGGACTCGGCACTTTCCACGGACAGAGTGGAGTGGCTGTTTCCACGTGCCCCGTGGTGGAAGAGTTCACCTAATGCAGCCAGGACTTCATCCTTTCCAGGTGATTCCAGGGTCCTCACTCTGCCCAGACCCCACCCACATGGCTGCTGTCTGTGCCAGTCCATACAGGACCTTGGTAATCTCCTAAAATGAGGGTTATTTTATACACAGGCAATGGGTTGAATGCTGGCCCCAAAAGATGTGTCCCTCCAGAACACGTGAACAGGACCATATCTGGGAAAAGGGTCTTCGTATATATAGTTAAGGATCTCGAGGTGAGGTCATCTTGGGTTAGGGTGGCCCTCAATCCAATTGAGAGAGTCCTTATGAGAGACAAAACAGGAGAGACTCAGACACAGAGGAGAAGCCACGTGAAGACAGAGGCAGAGACGGGAGGGATGCAGCCGCAAGCCTGGGGATGCCTGGAGACCCCAGAAGCTGGAAAAGGCAGGAAGAACCCTATCCTGGAGCCTCTGGAGGGACTTCCGTCCTGCAACACCTTGATCTCAGATGCCTGCTCTCCAGGACTGGGGGAGGATGAATTCCTGTTGTTTTAAACCACCCACCTTGTGGTCATTTGTTACAGAAGCCACAGAACGGTCACACAGACCCTGCTCTGTAGGATCCCGGAAGTGCAGGTCTCACTAAAAGCAGATAGAGGCTGGATTACAGAACCCTTAGAGTCAGCACTGAGCCCTAGAAGTCCTAAAGCAGTGGCTGGACACCAGAATGTTGAGGGGTCAATTCGGAAGCCCATCCCCAAGGGTACTGGCTGCACACGGCCTCCCCAGGTTTTTATGCCTGTACCTGTTGGGGATAAGTATTTCCACCCTAATTCAGGACTTCTGATGTCACCGTTCACGTTGATAATTAAGAACCCACTAGTTACACAGATGAAAACCCTATCAGGACACCTGCTCCAGTGGTAAAGAATTCTGAAGTTGGTCAGAGGTGGGGAATCATCTCCCAAGCAGCCAGCAGCCCCCCAGCAAGGAGTGTCCTCATTGCAAAGCTGGTGGACGGTGCTGAGGCGTCTGTGAGTAAACGTGAGCTGAGCCCCAGGCCAGCTGCTGCTGAACTGTTCCCACCCTTCCCAGGTAAAACACCTGAATGTGTGCAAGGACTTGAAAGCCTAGAGGAAAGGGCTTGGAGTCACACCAGCCACAGCACGCAGGCCAATTTGGTGCCTGCAGGCCAGCCGGAATGGTCCTGGCCCCGGGCGCTCTTCTGGAAGCTTTCCATTTCCCTGCCTGAGGCACCCCTCCTGTCCCGGCCCCCACTGTTTTCCTTCCTCACCTCTGCCCGGGGAGAAATTCCAGCGGCAGGTATGGGTGACACATTCTCTTGTTTAGCAGATGGCAGCCCGGCAACTCCTGCAGAAAGTCCAGCAGAGCCCCACTCACACCGGGCCACCCACAGAGCCGCAGCCCCTCACTCCCTCCCACCAGCCCAGTCCCGAGACTGCTGACGGGGCAGAGAATATGGCGTCAGGCACAGCTGCAGGGGTCTTGCTGCCTGGAGCGGTGTTTACATTGACCTCAACCCAGGCACACCTGGGGAGGGCTGGCCGGCAGGGTCAGGCTGCCCAGGTCAGCCAATCCTCGCCCCTCAGGGGCTCATAGCTGCAGAAAATGGGCCTTGCTGCACCGCCCAGGTCCAAGGAACAGGTGTGGGGTCCTGAGGGTCAGGATAGACAAGGGGCTGCAGCCCTGGCTTGTTTTCTAATCATTTTAACTGGCCCGTGAGCGGGAGACAACTTCAAGAAGTGCAAACCCAGCTTTGCACGCCAAGCCCTTCCGGCTCCCTACCCAGGAGGGAGGGTGTAGGGAAACCCTGTATGACCTCTGATGCCCTAAGAACACTGGACTGATGTTGAGTTCAATTTGAAACAGTGAGGGACCAGAGCAGACACTTCATTCATCTTCTATCAGGGCTCAGGGCTGGAGGAGCAGAAAACAACGGCCGAGCTCAGCCTTGATGCTAATCCCGACGCGGATCCTCACCCTAAACTCTGATCCTGACCCTAAGCCCTGAGCTAACCTTAGCCCTAACCCGTACCCTAAACCTGTACCTTACCCTAACCCATACTCTACCCGTATCCTACCTGTACCCTAATTCTAGCCCATGTCCTAACACCCACTCTAACGCAGGACCCTAACACCCTGAGACCAAAACCATAAACCTTAAGGAATAAACAAAACCACAACCATAACCAAAACCATAAACCATAAAATGTATTCATTAACCATACGCATAAATAAGTCATAACTGTAAACATAACCATAAGACATAAACCATAACAGCAACCATACACAGCCCCAGCCCTAATGCGAACCCTCCAAACCACTTACACCAAGCCAAATCTAATCAAATTATACAAATACATCATAAAAAAGAAAACTACCCCAGTATACCTCATAAAGATGAATGTAAAAATCTACCACAAAATAATAGCAACAGGAAACGAAAAGAACATTAAATGGATAATGCCATAAGCAAGTATCTCTACACCAGAAATTTCAGGTTGTTCAACATATTAAAATTAAGCAATGTAATAAACCACAATAAAAGTGTGAAGTAAAACACACGATCATATCAATTAATGCAGAAAAAACTAAAATAAAAAACCTGTGTTATTTCATGATACAAACACTCAAGAAAGCAGGAATAAAAGGAAATTTGTTCAATATGGAAAAGAGTAGTACAAAAAGCCACAGCAAACATCATGCTCAATGTTAAAGACAAAGGTTTACTCCTGAAATCAGGAACAAGGCCAGGAAGCTGGTCTTCATCATTGTTACTCAATAGGATGCCGGAAGTCCTACCCAGAATCTTGAGGAAAGAAATAGGAGGCATCCATGTGTGAATGGAAAAATTCAAACTGTGTCTCTTCACAGAACACAGATCACATCATTTTATATATAAAACTACCTATAATGAACAAAAAATTATTTGAGCTAGTCAACTAATGCAGCAAAGTTATAGAACAAAAAATCAATTCACAAAAATCTATCTTATATGTATACACTAGCAATAAATAACCTGAAAAAGCATTTATGATAACAATTTCACTGTAAATAATGTCAACGTCAATGTTTAGGAATATATTTAGTGAAGATACAAGACTTGTTTTATGTGTGTAAATTTGTATGTTTGAAATTACTGGAAAGTAAATTACTTTTCAAAACATCATGTATGTCAATAGCACGCCAGAAAAGCAGAGAAAACATCAAGCTTCCATAGAGCAGCCGAGCCCTACGCAGATCCAGTACACCCGAAGTCCACGTGTCATTTAGAGGCACTGGGGGAAGGTTCTATTAGGGGCCACTGTCCTCCGTGTTGTGGACGGCCTGGATACGGTAGAAACAGTGGGATTTTGGAATTCCAATTTTCCACTTCATTCCACAAAAAAACTATTAGAACTAATAAATGAATTCAGTAAAGTTGCAAAATCAATACACAGAAATCAGTTGCATTTCTAAACACTAATAATGAACCATCAGAAAGAGAAAGAAGGCAACCCTATTTACAACTGCGCCATAAAGAACAAAATACCTGGGAATAAAGTTAACCAAGGAAGTGAAAGACCTGCACACTGCAAACTTTAAGACATTGATGAAGAAATTGAAAAAGACACACCAAGAAATGGAAAGATTACCCTGTTCTCATGGAACGGAAGAATTAACATTGTTAGAGTATGCCTTCTACCCAAAGCGGGGCACACAGCGAGTGCAGGCCCTCCCGAAATGCCATGGCATTTTCCACAGAAACAGAGCAAATCCTCCTAAGGCGCGCGTGGAGCCACAAAGGACCCCGAAGGGCCAAGGCGACCCTGAGGAAGGAGAACGGGCCGCAGGCATCTCCCTCCCTGACTTCACACTACGTGGCGAAGCTACAGTCCCCAAAACAGTGTGGAACTGGCTCAAAACAGGCGCACAGCCCAGAGGGACGGGACGGAGAGCCCAGAACCCACCCCGCACGGTGGGGGGGGGGGGGCGTTAAGTTACGACAAGGGGGCCAAGGACACACCAAGCGGAAGGGTAGCCCCACGGTAAACGGTGCGGTGAAGGCTGCACACCCCGTAACCCACGCGGCTCCACCGCACACCAGCCTGACCAAAAACCCAGCTTTGCACGCCAAGCCCTTCCGGCTCGCATGAAGACGGACCCCCGCAGCCGTCAGTCGCCCCCAGGAAGCTTCTCCTCACTTTTCCTCACTGTCTCCTCACCTTTTCCGCCGGCGTCGCCTGCGTCCTCAGGAAACCCAGCTCCCGTCAGCGTGGACGCAGCCCCACGTTGTCCTGAAGCCGAAACCCCAGCGAGTCCTGAGGAGACCGAGCTCCTGTCAGCACAGACGCTGAGCCCAGCGTCCCAGGCGCAGCCCCGGCAGTGCCTGAGGAGACACAACTCCCCTCAGCTGCGCTGACAGCCGAGTCCGCGGGGAACGCGCATGCGCTGTGGGGTCAGAGAGTCGGGCTCAGCGCCACCCTGTGGTCGGTGCGGGAAGTGGTCGGTTACTGGAGACAGCGCCCCCTGCTGGCGGAACTGCTGAATCTGTTAAACCGTGGAAATTCAAACTGAAATGGAGACAAATATCCCCAAAGTTTTCGGAAAACAGTTAGGGAACAATTAACTGAGAAAGGAGAAGAGGCTGGAGGCATCTCCCTACTTGACTTCACACACTGTTGAAAAGCTGAAACAGTGTGGAATTGGAACAAAAACAGGCGCAGGGACCAGAGGAACCGGACAGAGAGCCCAGAATTCAACACGCACGGCTGGGGTCGGTTAATTTATGTCAAAGGGGCCAAGGACACGCCGAGGGGAAGGACAGTCCCCACCGTAAACAGTGCTGGGAAAACTGGACACCTCATAACTCCAACAAATTGGAAACCATTTGGAACGCAATGGACGTAGATGCAAACTTTACAACTTACACCAAATTCACTCAAAGTTATTCACAGACAAAATTTAAATACAAAACTATTCAAAATTATGGAAGCAAACATAGAAGACAATTGACAATGAGCTTGAGTTTGGTCATGTAGATCATGAGCTTTGGAGTTTTAACACACAGCACAAAAAAGCAATCTACAAAGAAAAACAAGGAATACTGTGGACTTTATAAAATTAAAGATATCTACTCCATGAAAGACCTTATTCAGAAAATCAAAAGACAAGTCACAAACTGGGAGAAAAATGCTTGCAAACACACATCTGACGAAGGATTTGTCTCAAAACATACGAAGAATGCTAACACAGACAACCCCATGAAAAATAGGGAAAGATCTGACTGGACACCTGGCCAAAGAAGATACACAGACAGTACACAGAACTATGCCCAGGACTAGGGGGCAGAAAAACAATGGTCCAGCTCAACTTTCTGAGCCATTTGTGGCCGTGGACTACACCTGTCCTTCCTGGAGGCCTCAGAGGGATGGAGAAGGAGGAAGGGGTAGAGGGCCAGTTATGCTTAAACTCTAACCCTGACCATTCTCACCACCTTCATTGGACATGGTCTAAGAAGTCCTAGCCATAGTAATCAGATTTTAAAAAGAAATAAAAGGAATCTCATGGCAGAGGAAAAAGTAAAACTGTCACTGTTTGTAGATGACATGATACTCTATACAGAAAATCTTGAAGATGACACCCAAAACCAAATAGAACTCATCAGAAAGTTCAGTAAAGTTGCAGAATACAAAATTAATCTACAGAAATTGGTTGCATTTCTGTGCACTCACAACAAACTGTCAGAATGAGAAATTAAGGAAACAACCCCATGAGCAATGACATTAACAAAGATAATATACCTAGGAATACACCTAACCCAGGAGGTAAAAGACCTATACTCAGAAAACTGGAAGACATTGATGAAAGAAATGAAGATGACACAAACAAATGGAAATATATACCATGCTCATGGATTAAAAGAATCCATATTGTTAAAATGATTCCACACCCCAAGGCAACCTAGAGATTGGATGCCATTTCTATCAAAATACCAATGGAATTTTTTTGGAGAACTAGAACAAAGAATTCTAAAATGTGTATAGAAACACAAAAGAACATGAATAGTCAATACAATCTTAAGAAAGAAGCACAAACCTGGACATATCACGCTCCCTGATTTCAAACTATACTACACATCTAGAATCATTAAGACAGTATGGTATTGGCACAAAGGAAATATGCATAGAGCCATGGAATAGCATTGAGAGCCCAGAAACAAACCCACACTTATACAGTCAATTTATCTATGACAAAGGAGGTGAGAATATACAATGGGGAAAATATAGCCTCTTCGATAAATAGTGTTGAGAAAACTGGACAGCTACATACACAAGAATGAAACTGGAATCTTTTCTTATACCATCTACAAAATAACCTCAAAATGAATCAAATACTTCAATGTAAGACCTGAAGCCATAAAACTCCTAGAAGAAAACATAGGCAGTACACTCTTTGACATCAGTCTTAGCAATACTTTTTGGATCTGCCTCCTCAAGCAAAATAAACCAATGGGACTCCATCCAACTGAAAGGCTTTCCAGCAGCAGAAGAAACCATCCACAAAAGAAAAGGCAGCCTACTGAATGTGAGAAATATTTGCAAACAATATATCTGGTAAGTGGTTCATACGCAAAATAGACCAAGAACTCATTCACACAACTCAACCTCCAAAAAAACAAAAACCCAATTAAAAAATTGGCAGAGGACAGAACATGTTTCCAAAGAATATATACAGATGGCCAAAAGACACATGAAAAGATGTTCAACATCACTCATCATCAGGGAAATGCACGTTCAAACCACAATGAGAGTATCACCTCACACCTGAAAGAATGGCTATCATCCAAAAGACAACACATAATAAATATTGCCAAGGACGTGGAGAAAAGGGAACTCTCACTCACTTTTGTTGGGAATGTTCATTGGTACAGCCACTATGGAAAACAGTATGGAGGCTCCTCAAGAAATTAAAAATAGACCTACCGTATGATGCAGGAATTATACTTGGGGGTATCTTTCTGAAGGAAACAAAAACACAACTTCAAAAATATATATGCACCCTTATGTTCATGAAGCCTTTATTAACAATAGTCAAGATATGGAAGCCACCAAACTATCCATCAATAGACAAATGGATAAAGAAGGTTTCATATATATATGTGAAAACTGGACACACACACTTAAGCACACTGGAACATGACTCAGCCATAAAAAAAGAATGAAATCTTGGGCTTCCCTGGTGGCGCAGTGGTTAAGTATCTGCCTGCCAATGCAGGGGACACGGTTCGATCCCTGGCACAGGGAGATACCACATGCCACAGAGCAACTAAGCCCGTGCGCCACAAGTACTGAGCCTGCACTCTACAGCCTGCAAGCCATAACTACTGAGCCCATGTGCCACAACTACTGAAGCCCATGCGCCTAGAGCCTGTGCTCCATGACGGGAGAAGCCACCACAATGAGAAGCCCGCGCACCACAACGAAGAGTAGCCCCTGCTCGCCACAACTAGAGAAAGCCCATGTGCAGCAACAAAGACCCACCACAGCCAAAAATAAAAACAAATTAATTTATTTTTTAAAAAAATATGAAATCTTGCAAGAACATGAATGGACCTAGAGGGCATTATGCTAAATGAGATATAGCAGACAGAGAAAGAGAATTACCTTATGATGTCATTTATATGTAGAATCTATAAAACAAAACAAATGAAGAAACACAACAAAACAGAAATGGACTCATGGATGCCAAGAACATGCTGGTGGTTGCTAGGTGGGTGGGTGCAGGGATGAGTGCAATAGGTGAGAAAGATTGAAAGGTTCCAAATTCCAGTTATAAAACAAACGTCATGGGGTGTGATATACAGCATAGGGAATAGAGTCCATAATACTGTAATAACACAGTATGGTGACAAATGGTAACTAGACTTATCTTGGTGATTATTTTGTAGTGTATAAAAATATCAAGTCACTATGTTGTATACCAGAAAACTAATATATAATAATTGCCCATCAAGTATACACCAATTTTTAAAAAGAAGAAAAGGTACTATCTTTTAAAAAACAGAGTGTTGGGGAACTCCCCAGTGGTCCAGTAGTTAGGACTCCGCGCTTTCACTGCCGAGGGAGCGGATTCGATCCCTGGTCAGGGAACTAAGATCCTGCAAGTTGTGCGCTCGGCCAAAAAAAAAAAAAAAGAAAGAGTGTAGTGAGATAAAGAGCGGATGTCAGATGAAACGATGAAAGAACGCGGGTTGAAAGGCCATCTGTGAAAGTGTCTGCTGAAGTTTGACTCTCAAGTGGCCCAGACAAACAGAACTTGAAGAGAAGCAGCCATGTGATGCTACTGGAATGTTCATTTGTTTCTTTGTTTAAATAGGGTTTATTTTTTTTTAAGATGTTTTGAGTTCACAGCAAAATTGGGCAGAGTACAGAGAGGTGCCACGTGCCCCCTGCTCTGCTGTTACTGCTCTCCCCATCTACCCCCTCCGCCCACCCACACAGGTGCTCAGAGTTTCCCTCTCCCCAGCTATCCTATCAGCATTCTGGGTGTTGGTCACTATCGATGAATCTGCATGGACACATCATGATCACCAGAGTCCAGAGTTTACACTAGGGTTCACTCCTGGTGTTGCACAGTCTATGGGTTTTGACAAATGTACCTTGCCATGAATGTATCACACTGAATAGTTTCACTGCCTTAAAACTCCTCTGTGCTCGACCTATTTATCATACCCCACCCCTTAACCCCGCCACAAACCCCTAGCAACCCACCCTTTCCATGGTTTGCCTTTTCCCGAATGTCATATGTAGTTGGTACCCTAAGCTATGCCACCTTTCCAGACTGGCTTCTTTCAGTGACTGATATGCACTTAAGGTGCCCCTCCCGTCTCCTATGGCTCCTTCTCTCTCTCTCATTTCTTTTCAGTGTGAAGAACATTCTGTTGCATGGATGGAGCCCCGTCTATCTGTCCAATCACCTCCCGAAGAACATGTTGGTTGCTTCCAAGTTCTGGCAGTTATGAATAAAGCTGCCGTAAACGTCCGGGCGCAGGTTTCTGTGTAGATGGAAGCATTGGACTCATTTGGGTCCATTGATACCAAGGAGCTTGAGGACTGGATCGTATGGTAAGAACGTGTTTCATTTTGAAAGACACAGTCCATGTTCACAGAGCTTCTGAAGATGGTAGCTGAGAGCATGTCAGCATGCTGAGGACTCAAGCCAAGGAAGGAGGTAGAATTCAAAGATGCCGGCAGGGAAGATGTGGCCAAGACAGAACCTGACCTCCACCCTCTTAGAGCTGACGGCTGGTCCTGAGAATTGAATGGACATGAAACAGACTCACAGGAGGGAACCATACACATTTATTTCCCACAAGTTTTACCTGACCAGGGCGCCCTCTAAGGAAACGA